TACAAGCTGTTGTTCAGGGCCTACTGCAAAGTGCTGTTCGTGTTGGGAATGCAAAAATGATTAGAATATCTCCTGCTTTGGAGGCTTTTACAATCTTGGAGACAGAGCTGAATGTCAAAAATAGATGCAAAAACTGCTCTTATGTGTTGTAACAGTGAGAGTTCAGAGGAAGATGATGGCCGTGGACCATATCCTAAATAGTATAACTCAACCAAGCAAGATATCTTTACTAGGGTCCATTTCCTGGAAGAAGAAGGAACCCAGAGTTGCTAAAACAACTGAGGCTTGTATATTGTGCAGGGTTGCTGTGATTCGTGATCCAGGTTGTTTACTGCACAAAGGGTGTCCAGCTGAGGGGGAAGTGGAGACTGAAAACTGCCCTCTTCTTTACTGGCCAGACATGAGCATCTGTGCCTACCCAGAAGAGGAGATGATTTACTAGTTCAGACAGAGAGTCATCATTTGGATTGCATCGGCTCTGTGACCACTTGATGGTTAGAAGGCTTTCCATGTGGATATTTCATTTGATGTTCCCACCAGCTGTAAGCACTGTGGCAGGTGACTTGCTCAGGGTCCTAAAGTAAGAGAGGTGGCAGAGCCAGACTTCTGCATTTTCCTTCCTGTGTCTTGCTGACCATATGACTGCTGAAAGCCATCTCCATCCAGTTGGAATCCTCTTCCTCCCCAGGGGAACCAGCCATCTCTGCATGGCAGAGGATGGAGCTCAATTTCGGGAGCTCAGTCACTGAAGGGAGCAGAGTGCTCTAACGCTGCTGGGCCCCCTTGCCTGCTGCACATCTGACTGCAGCTAATGAATTGCTAATACAATTTTCTAGATAATTTTATTTCCATAGTCCCACATTTTAATGTATTTCCAAAAGCTAGCATTTATTTGTTTAATCTCCCAGTGTAATAGAATCTGCCCTGACTCATCATACATGCGAACAATCAGCTAGGCAGAAACGACAGCAAATTGTTTAATAACTCAAATTGCATCTCTAGATTTTTAACTTGCATGCACCAATAGCTTTTCTTCTGTCTCATCTACTTTCCCTCTACCCTTTCCTGTTTTTCTTTTTTAACAAATGCTTTTTGCTCATCAAGACTGTTGGTCTCCAAGTATGAGAACGGGACAGTGGATACAGGCCTTATGAACCTCCTTCTCTTCCTCCTAAGCCTCCGTTGGTGGCTAAGTGACTGAGGAGGGCTCCTGTCCCTTGTGTGATGTCCCAGGAAGGAGAAGAAGGCCACTGGAGGGACAGAATGGCATTTCCTTTTCATATAACTTTGAACCCGTTGACAGGTTGTAGAGCTGGCCATATGGGGCTTGGTGGATGCTACTCTTTGCTGTTGGAGCCCACGCCCAAATCCTGTTTTGATACCTCCTTTGGACTTCATTTTTCCACCTCCCCAACCTCTTCCTGTAGTAGCACAGGAACCATCAGCTCCCTGCTTCCAACTACCTGCACCGGCTGTTGGTTCCTTGCTGTGGGCCAAGGCATCACCCTTCATTGCAGGCTATAGCAGGCTTGCACTCCTCTCTTAGTGTGTTTGGATTGCTGTAATGCATTTCCATAGACTTGGGAGACTTATAAAGACAGAAATTTATTTCTCATGGTCCTGGAGAGTAGATGATCATGGTGCCAGCATGGCCAAGTTCGAGGTGCTTCTTCCTGCTTGCAGACTCATGACATCTTGCTGTGTCCTCATGTGGTAGAAAGGACAAGCAAGCTCTCCGGGGTGCTTTCTGTAAAAGGACTAATCCCATTCTTGAGGACTTTACTCTCATAGTGGAATACCTCCTATAGGCCTCACCTTTTAGTACCATCACTTCAGTGTCAGGATTTTAACAGGTGCATGGAGGAGGGCAACAAACCTTCAGACCGTGGCCACCCCCAGTCCTTCTCTGGCCCTACATGGCCTTTAGAAGGACATCTACACAGTCCCACTGGTACATGTAATCATCTGTGATATGACCCCCAGGTTAGCTCCATCATTAGGGCCGGTCTGCTATGCCATCTGCTCTGAAATGTGCTTGTATTGTTTCCTTAGCTTGGCCTGGTACTCCACCACCCAGCCCTTGGCTTCTCAAATACTCTCCATTCTCAAAGGCTGACTCAGAATCTTCTGTGAAGACAGCCCACTTAGAGTCACTTTCTCTATCTTCTGGATAGTTGTTGACACACCAGTGCCGCCCCTTGTTTGAGACTCAGTTTCCCTGCTCAATCTTAGCCTCTCCCTTGTGACCTAGGATAGTGCCCACATTTGATAATGGGCCAGTAAATCAGCTAATGGGCAGAAATATGGTTTCAGGCTGTTCTGAGAGCAAGGGCCAACACCGAGGACAGCTTTAAGGGGACTTGGGAAGAGGAAGGGAGGCAAAGTACTGCAGCATCCTCATTAGGCACTGATGGGTGGTGCCAACCCCATATCACCTCTAGACCAGGGTTTAGGGGCTCTCAGAGTGTCCTGTTGGGGTGCCATCTATGCTCCCTGTGCTTGCATGCTGGTGGTGGGAGGAATCTTGGAGGAGGCCTTGGGGAAACCTTGCCTCTTGAAGGGCATGGCTTGCCCAGGAAGCCTGCTGCCTCTTGCTGATCTAGGGCAGCTGATTGAACACCTGGCCTAATTAGGGGTTTCTGTGGGATGAGGGCTAAGGGCAGAGAGGGACATGGGTGCTGGGAATGCTCAGGCTGAAGCAGCAGGGCTTCTGTGTCTACATGCTGCAGAGGGACTGGTCCTATGCATGTTGGCTGGGCTGAACTAGACACTGAGGGACTCACTGTCCACTTCTGTCCTGACAGCCTACTTTCTGTGTGTCCCCTCCAACAGGTGGAGCTGAGCATCCCAATCAAAACCTCCCAGAGATCTTGCTGGCTCTTCTAGGGTTGTGAGCCTTTTAGAAGGCTTGCAAAACTGTGGCTGTGACCAGCTCCCTGTCCATCCTTCCTGGCCTGGGGTTCTCTAGCCATTGCTGGGGAAAGCCCTGGGTGTATTGGTGCTTGCTTCTTACTGTCATTAGACATCTATTACAGGGGAAGCTCAGACAGACAAGTATCCAGCCCAGGGGTCAAATTAGGCCCAGCCCCATGGTTTCTAAAATCAACAGACCAGGCAGTTCTACCTTTCTTATCATGTAACCTTAGGCTAGTTATTTAATCTCTATGTTTCTCCATGTGTAGAAAGTGGGATAAGAATGCTTGTCTTGTAGTTATGGAAGTTTTAAATGTGATGACAGCATGAAGCCCATAGCACAATGCCTGTACTTCTTCTAAAATCAAGTCCTAGCCTGTATTCCTGTATACGCACTCGTACTGCAGGAGGGAGCTGGCTTTGGGTATCTTGACTTCAGAGTCTGCAGAAGGAGGAACCACGAATGTGAAGGGCAGGAGAGTGGAGGGTGAGAGAGAATTGGTTCCTGCCTTCCCACTAGTCCATCCCAAACCCAGCCATGAATGACTTGAGATGACCAGAACCAGATTTCTCATTTGTTGTCTCCATTGCTGGGCCACAAAGTAAGCAAGATTCTTTATGTTATCCCTTCTCTTTCCCCTCAGTTGGTACTAGAAGCTTCTTGACTCCACGCCAAGAAGTCCATGGCTTCTATCAGCCAAAGCTGTGGTCCTCCTCTTCCAGTCTGGATAGGGTTGACGTGAGATCCTCCCTCCAGTGTGGACCTCATGGAGTGGACGGCACTGTGGGCTTGAGCACAGGTGTTATCCCCCCAGATGCCAGCAGAAGCAAGCAGGGGCGCTGATGTACTTTAGGAACTGGAATTCAAAATGGTGGACCGTGGGCTACCATTAAGACACAGAAGTGGAGTTAAACACTTCTTATATGATCGTATAGCCATAAAGGCTGTGGCTTCAGAGTAGCATCAGGAAGAGGTTGATAATAGTGGAGAACACAGCATGTCTCTGTGGGGTACTGTGCAACTGGGGTAGCACAGGAAATGACAGACAGAATGAAATGAAAATATCATGTGACTCATTAGCTGAAAATCCTCTGAAAGTTGTCCGTAGGTCCTAAGAAGAAACCTGAAGATCTTAACATGGTATTCAGGACCCACATGACCCAGCTCTTGCGTCCGTCTTTAGCTTCTTTCTTTGTAACATTCTTCCTGCTCTTCCAGCCATACTGGTCATCTGTCTGATCTTTGACCCAGTAAGTTTCTTTCCAACTCTGAGTGGCATGGATACTATCCCATCACCCAAGAGTGCTTTCCCCATTGGCCTAAGTGTGGCATCTGTGATTTGAGCCGGGGCTTTGTGTGCTCTTCTCTTATATCCCCAGTGCCACAAAGAGGGTCCTATTTATGGAAGACATCACAATAATATTTGTTGAATGAATGGACTCAAGATGCATGCTTTAATGACTGGAGAAGTGGTTATAAGAATAGGATATATGCTACCTTTAGAAAAGGATTCAAATCCAGGCTGTCTGGTATGAATCCCAGACAGACTGCCACTTATGAACTCCATGAAGCTTTGGACAAGTTACTCAATCACTTTGTGCCTCAGTTTCCTCAACTGAAGGGTGAGGATGATAGTGACAACATTTTGAAGTCAAGATTTTGAATTAGTTTCATTATTATTATATTACGATCTTCGTTATTGTTGGCCTTTGCAGAGCCTACTCTGCTTCCTCACTGCTAGCCCAGACTCTTAAGGAAAGTCCCTCTGATTCTGCCCTTAGTACTCTGTGTTCTACATAGTGCCTGATGTACTTGCAAATTGACACTTGCCATTGCCATTTATGGGATTGATGCCTGTCCTTCCCCCACTAGTCCTTAGGTTCCATCAGGGAACCTTGTCAATTTTGTCCCTTGGAGCCGCAGACAGGGTGTTCAGTCCACACTGTGTGGCAGCCTGGGCTGCCTCTGATTTGCCCTTGGAAATGGGGACACTTGTCCTAATGCTGGCTCCTCTGTTAGGCTGGGTGGGTAAAGAATCACCTTGGACCCCCCTCCTTCTGAGTTCTCCCTCTGTTGTCTCCAATAGGCACTGACATGGCTGTCTTCTGTCTGCTGTGTGGGAAGCGCTTCCAGGCACAGAGTGCACTCCAGCAGCACATGGAGGTCCACGCGGGCGTGCGCAGCTACATCTGTAGCGAATGCAACCGCACCTTCCCCAGCCACACCGCCCTCAAGCGTCACCTGCGCTCACACACAGGTGGGTCTGAGTCTCTGGGAGCTCATGTCTAGATTTACCTCCAGGGACATACGGTGGAGGTGCCAGACCGAGTCACCTTTCTTTGTTCAAGGGATGAACACATGGGATTTCTGGTAATGCAGGGAGATGTTTACAGTTTTTCTCCCAATCCCATACTAAAGACCATTGGTTCTCACATCTTTCCATGCTCAGCACAGAAAAAGACGTTCATTTTTTATGCAGACTCTTGGGTCCGATGTTCAGAAACCTTGATTCACTGTGTCCAGGGTGGGATCCAAACCTCAGAACTATTAGTGCATATTCCTAAGGTATTCGGACATAGATGGACCCAAAATACATTTTGGAAACAAATGACTTTCTGGATCTCCAACCCCAGCCCCACCATTCCCACTGCCTAGAATCCACATATACACACCTGAAGTCAGCTTCCAGCTCTTAAGGGCACTGGTATTCGGACATAGATGGACCCAAAATACATTTTGGAAACAAATGACTTTCTGGATCTCCAACTCTTTCTGCCCCAGCCCCACCATTCCCGCTGCCTAGAATCCACATATACACACCTGAAGTCAGCTTCCAGCTCTTAAGGGCATACTAAACACACAACAGCAGAAGTTCTCTAATTTGGACTCAGCATTATGTAGGGAAGATAATATGGGTGTTTAAACAGCGAGCCATGATATATCCCTGCACAGCCAGGTCCTCAAGATGAGGTGAAAGGGTGTGAGACAAGGAGGCTGGGCCAAGTGCCCAAGTACTGGCATGTTACTGCCACTAATGTCTGGGTTTTGAGGGGAGCAGTTGGTGTCTCAGGTTTAAGAGGCATTTGAGTTCTTGAGCAGCCCTTGGTCTCCCCTAACAGGGGAATAGATGACCTAGATCCCTTCTTTTCCCAACAGAAAATGAGATCTTGGCTGACTGTTCATGGGTAAAGAAATTCCCATTTTTGAGTCTGCATGTGAGTTCTGTCCTGAATTGGGAGAGGTACGGGGATAGGTCTCTGTAGTAAGGTGCATGTTCGTGCCTGTTGGACAGGGTATAAAAGCTCCATGTGCCTCATAGGGATGGCAAGACCCCCACACACACACTGTCTCTTTTTCACATTCTTTTTTTTTGGAGACAGGGTCTCACTATGTAGTTCAGACTGTCCTTGAACTCACTATGTAATCCAGCCCCTCCTCGAACTCACTGTAAATCCTCCTGCCTCAGCCTCCCAAGTAATGGGATTACAGGCGTGCACTAGCATACCTGAGTTCTCTCTCTCACTCTTGGGAGTCTTCTCACAGCTCAGGGATTAAGTATGACCAGGGTTTACATGGTTACAGGCTCTGCTGAATGAGGAAAGGCTTTGCTGTCACAGACTGAGCTGGCCTGTCCTTCCAGGAGTGGCATCCTCACCAAGGAGCCTACCTGTGCCCTCACTACTGGATGCTACTCTGTTCTAAGGAGGCTTTGCATCACCATATTTGCTTAGAATCACTTAGGATTACTGGTGGAGGGAACAGAGGGTAGAGTCCAATAAGAGAAGGGATGGGTACAAAAACTGTCTCTAGAGTGACTGCATCTCCCCTACAGTTGTACGCACCTTCCTGCTCAATGGGTCCCCAAGTTCAGCCATATGAAAGATGGCAAACTCCCTTTCAGCCACTTCTGAGCATCCCACTAGAGCAAATCACTTGGCTTCGTGTGATATGAAAGATCCCAGCTCTACTGAGTCACTCAGGATGCCTCCTGCTTTGTCTGTGCCACCTGGGAGCTAAGATACCCAAATGTCAATCCTGTTTCTCCCTGTGTCAATCATGGTTCAGATGGGTGGGCAGGGACAGAGTATGGGAGAAAACCTTGCTTCTAGGAATCACAGAACATGTGTGCAGCTCCCCCCATACACACATCCATTTTCACGCCAGCCATACACAGGCTCTGCACACCCTCTACACAATGCCTCATTAATATTCTGTTGTTCTTGGCCCATTTGCTGCTGGGGCTGGGTGTTTAGCATCAGCAGCTGTGTTTGGTAGGTTAGTCCAGCCGTGCTCTTGGCATTGATGGATCCCTGATTCACACAGTTCATCATATAATAAACTCTCAGCTGTGCTGAAGGGAGGGGACTGAGGAACCCAGGGATGGGGCTGGGGTGAGGATAATGACACCGGGCTTGGTCAGAGCCAGGGAAGCCAGGTAATGACAGACTGGGGAGGGGGGTCACAGGTGCACTGGGCAGGCCAGAGGGGCTCTAATTAGTCTCGTTTGTCCTGTACTTAATGTCAAGCTCATTAACGAGTCTACAGAGTTAATCAACATACCACAAATTGGATTTTGAGTCCTGCCGCCAGTTTTGTGTACATTTTGGCCACACTGATGTGATTAACACATAGGGTGAGGGTTGTGGGCCAGGTGCTTGACAAGCTGCAGAATCTGGGTGGGTGTGCATGCACATGTGTGTTGGTGCCTTGTCTTTTTTTTTCCAAGTTCTTTTTATTCCTGTCTCTGGGCAGACTCAAGAGAGTTCCTGTTTAAACTCATTTAACATGTGATCTACGTCATAATGAAATTCATAAAAATCTGATCAGACAAACCCCTCTGATGCTTTTTTAAACTCCTAGGGCCCTCCTCTGGAGGTGAAAGGCACGCACAGGCTGCCATCCACCCTCACACCCCCAGGCTGGGTGGCTGCCGATGTACGTTTTAATTACCAGCTCTGGCTGAAGTCTCATGTGCCCCTTGCTTTATTTATTTATTTATATCTTAATGAGGATACTGAATCTTTGATTAAAGTCGTAATCGTTGCCGATTTGGTAAGGAGGGGGAGTTGGATGTCAGACCAGACGGGCCACGTGTGCAGACACAGAGGGAGAGTGTCGGGAGGGCACACACACTCACCCTCACGCTCTTCCACACACAAGCAATTAGCACCAGCTCTGCGCCAGCCTTCATTCCCCTTGGGTTCAATGAGGCTGGGGACTAAGGAATGGGCAGACTGCATATCCCTGGCGGCAGGAAGACAAGAGTACTAGTTTTTCCATCACAGGATGCTAGGACTCAGTCCATCACCACATCTGTGTATGGGGACTGCCAGCTGATCTCTGAGCCAGGCAGAGCCCATAGATCAGTGTGAACTAGACCAAGATGGCCCAACTCTTGGCGCTTCCTCGATGGAACTGCCCCCACCCCATGGCCTCCATGTGCCTTGCAGATCTTCCACCCATGAGCCAGTGAGCAGACCCAGCATCTGCTCCCCGCAGAGCCTTAAAAACCCTTCAGAGCCATCAGAAGCGATGAGAATTTATGTGGGGACAGGGGCCTGCATTTGGAAGGGGGGAGGTTTGGTTAGCGGCCTGCAGAGAGAGGAGAGCGGAGAGAGTAAAATATCATTTTAAAGAGGAAGTGAAAGCATAGGCATGCGAGTCTATAAGGAGAAGGACAATTTATGCCCAGGCACGAGCGCAGTTTGACATGGGGATAATGAAAAAACGTAGGTCATTGTGGATGACTTAAACCTTCAGCAGCTGAAGAAAATGTATGAAATGCAGAGGACATTACACGGTTGGCAGCCCCGCACATCTGCAGAGGGACAAGTGAAATACAGTGGGCCATTCTTTACCATAAACTGTGGTTGTTGGAGACGCAGCCCAGAGAAATTGTAATTACAGTGACAAGACGAATCAGCGATATTTAAATATTCATGAACAAAGTCTAGGGTGATCAATCTATCTTTATTGTCTTCGCCTTCACTTCTGTAATAAATAAGTAGCTGAAGTCCTCACCTTTCATCCCTGAAACCCCACTTTGGGGACATAATGCACACCCCTGCCTCTTACCCTCGGGGGATTTAAGAGTGGCATGCCCATTAAGAGGGTACAGATGTTCCTTGTTTACCAACCTACCTGCTTAACGACTGTTTAGACTGAGGTATGCTGTTTGGACTTATGACCCATCTTTTTTTTCCCCCACACACGATACCTTGTTTATACAGTACTGTAATTTTTGCTGATTGCACTGTACAGTACCGTACCACAATTTTATGTTCAGTTATACATTACAGTACTGCAGTGTAAGAGTTATGCAAATAAAAGCGAAGTCATCAAGTTGGAGTTTCCTTTGACCGTTTCTTTGTTCTGAATATCGTAACGTACATGCTATATAAAATTCCTCATCTAGCAGCCAATGAATTTAACAACCTAGTCTCAGGAATGGGACTCTGTTAAAAGAGGAATGTCTGTAAATGGGCATAGGTTCCAGACTGAGGAAAGACAATTTTCCCTAAGCCTGATGTACCCAGTGCTTCCTAAGAGTTTGTACAGGGCCATTCCTGGGCTGCACACTGGGCTACAGGGATGGATAAGGCTTACTTCTTACCCTTGAGGCCCTTCCATTTTAGAGGCATAGTGGCCATGCCAGGAGATACAATGTATTGTGTCTCTTAGCAGTCTAAGAAGTACCCTGTGTCCAGATTTAGGAACCATACTACAATCTGATCGCAGTGCACCTACTAACTACATGACCCTGAGGGTGAGAGTTAAACATTTCTAAGTAACTCATTTTTCTCATTAGTAAGAATAAGAATCACACCTTTCTTTAAAGTAGTTATCATGATCAAGGGATATGATCCATGTGTTGTTCTCAGCATAATAGCAAACATTCAGCAAATATAGGCTATTTTAATGGAAATGTTCCATAAAAATTGCACTATACACATAAAAGAATAAATGCTGGATGTTTCTTCTCTCTGAGACAGAGAAGGAAGTGTGACTTATTCTTCCTGTGAGACTAAAGGGAGGCTTCCAAACACAGGTGAGCTAGGCTTTGAAAAATGACCAGGGGTTCACTGGGAAGAGAAAAGGAAATCAAAGACGGAATAGTTAAGTTAGTGTAAGAGGGAAAGGGCAGGAAGTATTTAGGGAACTGTGAGAAGTTCCCCAAATTAGAGGGACTTCTTGAGGGTTACGAAGTCAAGCTATAGTGGCGCTTGACCCTGAGCTAAGGGAAAGGAGACAGGTGAGAAGAGAAGAGGAGGCAGCGCAAGGCGAGGCCTGACCCAACCCCTTGTCTCCACAGGTGACCACCCGTACGAGTGTGAGTTCTGTGGCAGTTGCTTCCGGGATGAGAGCACACTCAAGAGCCACAAACGCATCCACACCGGGGAGAAACCTTATGAATGCAATGGCTGTGGCAAGAAGTTCAGCCTCAAGCACCAGCTGGAGACACACTATAGGGTGCACACAGGTACTGAGGGCCAGTGAGGGCAGCTGGGTGGGCTGGGGAGCAGAGGGCTCCCCAGAGAACCCAAGTCAGAATGGTCCAAGGATGAACCAGGGAGAAGAGGTTCTGTGAGGCCTGAAAACCACCCCCACCCCACCCCACCCCCACAAGGCCAAGGCAGACAAGACTAATCAATCACAGCACACTTTACCGGGAACCCAGGTCAGCCCCTGAGGCAGCCACACCAATGTTAGGGCTGACATCAAGGTGATGATGAGCTCTGATTTAGGGTTGATTAGCTGGAAGTGAAGATTAGGGTGGTTTTGTGTTGCTGGAGGGTTAGAGTAAGAATGACAGTACATCGAATTAGGTTTTGATAGGTTTGGGAAATTGTGATGTTAGATCAAGTTAATCTCTGAGATTAGAGCAGGTGTATTGAATTAATAATCCCTTGATATGTATGATATTTCACCATTTCAGAGTACCTTGACATTCCTTTCTACTTAAAAGAAACATGAGCAGCTGTTTTCCCTGGGATTTTAGGTCCAGACTTAACAGGAATTCCTGCATTGGGAACAGCGGAGTCCTGGGGATGGCCTGGACTGGACTTGTTTGTGAAAGCCTATTTTTCCCCCCGATTTCAAGTTCTGTGACATCATTTTCATTGCTTAAAATTGGTTGTGGAGGAAGTACTGTATTTGCAGCATAGCAGTAGGCAAATGCTACCGATCAGGGCTTTTTGGAGAGCCTCATGTTAAACACTACCAGCACACTACCAGTTAGTGGGGAGGTGGATATTCAGAGGGAAATCATCTGAGAGTGAGAACCTGGCACATTATGAAGCCATCTCTGATCAGAGGAGACAGCTCTCCTGTCTAGAAGAAGGGGAAGAGATGATGTCAGGCAGGTCCTGCTGGCTTAGGGGTCAGTGTGTTGCCGTGGGAGAGAAGTGGGCAGAGGGAGTGATAAGTGTGTTGCCAGAGCTGTTTTCTTTCCTCCAGCTGGGGGCCACAGGGAGCGGATGGGATGCTCACTGCTGACAACTTAAGTGACCCAGAGTATTTCCCAGAGCCCTGAGGTTTCCTTAGCCCCTTGTTGGGGATGTAACCTGGCCAGTGGATCATTAAATGTATTGGCAGTGACTATTGTAAATAGCCAGTCGATAGTTAGATCACTTTGGCTGTTCATTACTTTATTATTTGCTGGGGCCTCTGCTCAGAGGAGTATCGATAGCGAGATGGCTGGCCAGTTAATTACTGTATCGAAACAAGGTTCCCTTACATCCTCTGCTCAGCTGCAGGGGACTCCAGTGGAGGGGAGATCAGGGTTGGGTACCAGGCTAAAGTATGGCTGTAGCCCCCAGTCCTTCCCTCAGAAGGGAAGGCAGGGTTCAGCACTTCACTGGGCTAGACCCCAGATGTAGAGTATATGAAGGACTGGAGTCCCTGGGTTCCTCCCGCCCCCAGTCCTTAATACCTGTAGCCTTGGAAGGACTGTACTCTCCTGCTTCTACTGGGCAAACTGAGCGAGGAAACATCTCCAAGGACTTCAGGGCCTCAGTGTCTCCTTTTGAGACATTCATTTCTTTAGAAAAGAAGAGCCCTGGCCTTTGGGAAAGTTGAGAATAGTGAGGCAGGGGGCTAGTGCTGTGCTGCACATTCCTGTAGCCACTGGCCACACCACACGTGACTGTTCACATCAGGCACCACGATGTACAGCAAAGGACATAGCATCCCTGTGTACTAGCCACATCTGTGGTGGTGTGTGCTGGTAGCTGCCGTGTTGGATGGTGTGTCCATCATCTCAGAAGTCCAGTGGAGAGCACTGGACTAGAGGAATGAGATTCTCCCACATGCCCAAGGGTGGCCCAAGGCCCTCATTGTTCTCCCTCTTTGTCTTCACTCTCTCCTGCTTTGTCCTCCACTCCCCAGGTGAAAAGCCCTTTGAGTGCAAACTCTGCCACCAGCGCTCCCGGGACTACTCCGCCATGATTAAGCACCTGAGAACACACAATGGCGCCTCGCCCTACCAGTGCACCATCTGCACGGAGTACTGCCCTAGCCTCTCCTCCATGCAGAAGCACATGAAGGGTCACAAGCCTGAGGAGATCCCGCCTGACTGGAGGATAGAGAAGACTTACCTCTACCTGTGCTACGTGTGAAGGGAGGCCCATGCGGCGGAGCAGGAGCGAAAGCCAGGAAAAATGAGTTAGAGCGAAATGAAATGCAGGGAGGACTGTGCAAAGAAAAAAAAAGATAAAAAGATAAAAAGAAAAGAAAACGTAAATGTGAGAGAAGGAAAACCCAGTAGCTATTTGGCATTGGATTCTCTCTGGGGCTCCAGGTGCCCTGGAGGCCAAGCCACTGGCCTTTCCCGGGGGCCTCTGCCCTCCATGGAGGCTGGAGGCGTGCTTGATTTTTATGGGTGGGTAGGGGTGGTTTTGTTCACTTCCGTGGTGGCATGCTTTTCTCCTCCCTCTACCCAGACCCTCCTTCTGTGTCTAGAAATGGAAGCTGGGAAGTGAGTGAGAGAGCCTCTGATCAGAGCCACACTCTGCCTCTCCTCCTCCCACTGCCTCCCAAAGAAGAAGGGAGGGAAGCAGAGAGGGGGCTGCATATGGTATGGGGGGGTCCCCGGTTGATGCTCACAATGGCAGCTCTGGTTTGTTGGGGGAAGGTTGGGAGGGGAAAGGCTCTCTTGCCACCACTTGCTTCATCTGTTGCTTTCCTCTCTCTGCCCTGCCACATCTGGGTGTCCCTCAAGGTCTGAGAGCCCCTTCTTAGCTCTTCTCTCCAGCTCCTTTGGCCGCTGTCCTCCAGGTCCCAGGAGCTCCTAGTCCCTAAGGGACCTGAGCAGTATTTCCTTCCTCCTCTGGTTCCTCGTGGGAAAGCTGCAGCCCACTCCAGAGCCCCTTCTTTCCCTTAGCTTTCTGAGAACACAGAACAAACACACCAGATGCCTACCCACGCCAAGCCCCACCTTGAACAAGATTCCTGCTGAGTTGTCATTGCTTCCAAAATGGAAAAACATAACAACTAAATATGTTCTATCCTACCAGTCAAACACACACATACCTACAACCCTGTCAGTCTGTAGGGGAAGGGACCCATGAAGGGGCCCGTTGTCCAAGGGAACGCTATGGATGCCCTTCCACAGAGGTGCCCTACATTTGGAGAAGGGAACAGACACCCAACCCAGGGTGGGGGAGCTGGCTCCAGGGGAGGAAGTCACTGTCATGCTGGGGATGTTTTAAAGCACAGGGCCTGGAGACCCCCAGACCCAGTGAGCCCAGCAGGAAAATCCAGGACCAGACAGCAGCACAGAATTGCTGGCTCACAGGCCCTCCAGTCCACAGGGAGGAAGAGGAAGGGGAGGAAAAGGAGGAGGAAGTGAATGTGGAGGAGGAGGAGGAGAAGCCGAAAGCGCTTTGGCTTTGTATGTTTTGCTTCTTTTCTGTGTTCCTTGTTAGCACATTGTACTTGAATTACCTCAGTTTTTTTGTGACCTCATAAGCTTTTTAACCCCATTTTTTTTTAGGTTCAGGTTTCGAGGAATGGGGAGGGTGTTCTCTTATTTCTTGTGTAAATTAGTAATAGTTGGCTTTTAGACTTCAGCTAGCCAAGGCCCTCCTATCACCCTGGTCACCAACCTCCCAGCTGGACGGAGCTGGCAGAAGGAGTAGAATACTCAGGACTGGAGGTTGAGGGCCAGGGAGGGCAGAGGGGTGGGTAGAGGGGATGGTGGGTCAGGGTCTCACTGTCCCCCTGAGGCACTCAGGAGTCACTGTTGGTTCTGTCCAGGGCTCAGACCATCTGTGCCCAGCATTAGTTCAGCCCGAAACACTCTGGAGAAGGCACCCACCATTCTTAAGACTTCCAGGGTCATTCAGGCTCGAGGGCCTATATTGTCAAGATCCTTGCAGACCGTTGTGGTGCCACCTCTGTGTGCATGATCGTTGCCAAAATACGTGTATTTTCATGGCTGGTCGCGTTGACCCAGCCTTGGTTTTGCTGTGTTGGGGTGGATGTTGTTTTTCTAAAGCTACCTCTTACGTTTGTCCACTTGTTCTGTTCCTCTCCTGCCCCACCCCCACCCCGCTGCTCTGTTCTCTCCTTTCCCCCAATCCTGCCCCCGCTTAATTTTTGGAAAGCACATTTGGAATACTCGTGTTTGCTTTGGGATGGGCCCTATGTTTCATCTCATGCTTTATGTGTAAGAGGGTTTTTTTTCCTCCTTTCTCGCTCTCATAAAGTTGTGTCTGCATTGTGATCTTGGGTTTCTACAAAGTGGTCTAGGAAGGCAGTTTGGGGGAGAAGGGCTGTGAGGGATATCGGGAAGTCGGAGGGATGGGTGCTGCTGTGACCACCCTCCCGTCCCCCGGCCCCATCCCTCCTGCCCCCCCCAATCTCGTCCACCAAATCTGAAGGCCTTAAAAAGCGTGTGTTAGGACGTGGATTGGGGGTTGCTATCATTAGACTGTGGATTAGAGGTGATAAAGTCGGGTGGATGCTATTTTGCAACTATACTAAAGACTTAGTGCTTTGGAAAGGAAAAAGATTTAAACTTGAAACATGTGATTAGAGCAGTTGTCACGTTTATAATGTGAAAAGAGTCAAATCTTTGGGGGAGAGGCAGTCTGTAAGAAACCGTGATGCACTATGCCTTCCTCCCCCAGTCTGAGAAGAAGGGGGACTCACCAGCCCTCAGGGCGTCTGAATCCCAGAAAACAGTATTTTTAACAGCAAGATGTTATTCAGCATTGGTGGGGAAGGGGGAAAAAAATCAAACTATTCCATACAACTAGCTGGCTCCTTGCTCCCCCACTCTTCCCACTAAGTCTGGTCCTCTCATTCATGAAAACTGAGAGGGCTGAGCTAATCTTTACAAATTGTAATATTTTTGTAATATTTGTTCTTTTGTCAGTTCTACAGGACCTTGCCCTTTCCTTTTGTAATGTGAATAGGGAAAAAAAGACAAAAAAATTCGCTACCATCACAACCAATAACAAATTATCCTTTTGTGTGTGTGGGTGCGCGCACGCGCGTGTGCTCTGTGTGTGTGGTTGTGTGTTAAATCATGAGGTATTTTGTAATGAGGTGTTGCAGCCTTGGATGGTACTAGCCCAGCATTTGCCTGGCCCACCCAGCCTGCGGGGCTCTGCAGATCCCAGGAGTCTCCGGCAGCTCTGGAGGGAGACCAGAAGGGGCAGCTCTGTACTTGCTGTGTTCCCTATGAGACCCCACACACTCCAAAGGAGCCCAGTATGCCTCTTCTCTACTTGCCCCAAAAGGCGAAAGTGTTCTCCAGTTGCCAAGGCCTTCTGGGACAGAATGGGCAGGGTAGGAAGCCGTCTGGAACACAGGCTTGGGGAGGCCAGGAGTGTGGAGGAGGCCCCCTTGCCAGATGAGATCCCCTCTCCTTTCTGCCATCTGGCCATTCCTGCCACCCCGCTGCCTTTAGCTGTGGTCCTGCAAAATCCCAGCTTGCTACTGCCTTATCCAGAACAGTGACCCTTCTCCAGTCTGGAGCATCCCTTTCTCACGTCAGGCACCTACAAGTGTGTCCCTTAATGCTTTCGGTTGCATTTATCCCTCACTCATGTGTTCCTTCCCTGTTCACTCCTTCACTCATTCAAAGCATAAAATCCTATGTGTATATAGGATAGACAAATATATATATAGAGAGAGATATATATAGCAAGAGAGATATAAATAGTAAATATCACTGCTGCTTTGGGCTGCTTTGGAGGAGGCCACAAATATGAGGAAGGCAGATCTGGGGTGCAGGGTTGGGTCGGGAGCCTGGGGGACCCAGTGATTCAGTACAATCCAGGGATGCAACACGGGCTTGTTTACTCCTTGTGCCTGAACAGTTTTTCCATGTTGAGAAAAAAAAAAAAGACAAAAAAACTGCTGCATTTTTTTCATAAGTGTATGGTACCTTTCTGAATGCTCTGGGTACACCTGCTGTGGGAAGAGAGAACCCCTGGGCAACTCCTTAGCAGGGAGACCGGGAAACTGAACGAGGGTGAAAATGGGGGTGGGGAAAATATGAGACAGAAGTGGAAGAGATGAGAGTCCCTTGGTTCATTTTCCCCAGGCCTATTTTACTGCCATCTTCCCCGCTCCTGTCTCTGTTCCTACTTCCTGGAGCTTCTGCCGGCTTGGCTGGACTGGTGGCACTTATCTGATCTGGAGATTTCCGTGAGAGAACACACTGGGACTAACCCTACACAGTGGGACCGGCAGGTAGCAGCAAAGCAGAGATGGCCAAGAGAAGGGTGCAGGACAAACCAAGGAGGCTGGGCCGGTCAGGAAAAGGGTACGCAGAGGAGGAGCATGGGCCTCTCGGGCCTGCCAACCAGCAGCCGCAGACACCCCACGTCCTTGGCGGCCCGCTCTGCAGTCAGGGTCACGGCCTCCCGGTGTGTATCATAGTATTCGTTCACATAGTGTTATGCATGATCCCTGTGAGGTTAAGAAGCCGTGGTGGTGCACCGTGCCATCTGCCCATATATATAAAGATAAATATATATATATGTATGTAAGTTATAGCACTGGGGGCCCTGATGCCCTGCTGGACCAAGCAAAACTAAGCCTTTTGGTTTGGGTTTTATGTTTTGTTTTGTTTGTTTTTGTGGCTTGTCTTATGTCGTGACAGCACAAGTGCCAGTCCGATTGCTCTGTATTACAGAATAGTGTTTTTAATTCATCAATGTTCTAGTTAATGTCTACCTCAGCACCTCCTCTTAGCCTAATGTTAGGAGGTTGCCCAATTTTGTTTCTTCAGTTTTACTGGTTACTTTTGTACAGATCAATCTGTCTATCCCTCTCCTCCCTCCCCCCTTCCTCTCCCCTCTCTCCCTCCTCCTCTCCCCTGCTCGCTCTCCTCTTGCTTCCCTTCCTTTTCCTACTCCTTATCTCTCCTGTTTTCCTGGTCTCTCCTCTTCCTCTCTCCCTGGCCTTCCCTCCCCTCCCTTCTCCTCCCCTGCTCCCCCCCTGGGTTTCACCCCCTCCCTTTCCCTGTCCCCCAAATTGTGCTTGCCACTTCTTTCTGTTCTCTGAAGCAAGTTCACTCGAAGTTGTGCGGTCCTGGTTGCAGCTTTCCGCCTCTGCCTTCGTTTTGTGTAGATTGATGCGTTTCTTTGTAACTTCAGTGTTTCTGACAAGATTTAAAACAAAAACAAAAAAAAAAAGAAAAAATGAATTTACTGCTGCAGGTTTTTTTCTCTTTCCATGTGTCACTAAGTGAAGTTTGTGCCTTCTATAGCAAAGAGAATATTTTTTACATCCTACTAACAGTAGATTTTTTTGTAGTGAACATTTTTTGTATTTTTATTTATAAGTCTCATAAGAAAAATAGCAATGTTCAGTTGTATACCTTGAATCTGCAGTTAGAAGAGAATAAAGTTAATTCAGTTGTCTCCGGGTTACAGTGTCCCCCCCTCTTTTTAAAGTACTTTCTTTGTCTTTCTGCCTTTTCTTGGATGGGGAACATTGCAGAGGAACTAAGATTTCTGTCTGATGGTAAAGGGAAGAGCACGCTGTGTTACACACATTCACTTTATTTATGACCTGTCTGTGCCCCATACACAAGACACACCACCACTCTACAACATACTGGTCTAATAATTTTTAGTTTAAGAAGCAAGTGTTCAATTGATCTTGGTATTATGTACCCGGTGGAGGGGCATTCTTTCATCTATTCAACAAGACTGTCTTATACCACTTCATGTTTTCTGTACTGGAAATAAGGACAAGGCAGAAGCCCGACCCCACGGAGCTACCATCTGTTTGCATGTAACTACTTGCTTGGGATCATGCTGCTTGCTAGTGAGTGGGCCAGTCAGAACTTATATCCAGATCTAATCCCAAATCAGGTTCAGATTTTTCCTGGACTCCAGAGGCAGGAGTCTCCTTTATGGATATTTACATCATTGTCCACTTATTCCTGGCAGCTAAACAATGTTCAAGAAATGTCTCAATATGAAGCTTCCACCCAATTAAAGGTCCCTGGTCTTGTGGCAGCCAAGACCTCTTGAGAAGGAAACAGACAGGTGGCCATGGGTAGGGAGGGTAGGGGTAGGGGAGAGGGACTCAAGCTCAGCGTTTCCACCAGTCCCGAATAAAGGATGTCCACAAAACCCAACCTGCTCGGTTTCCCCCTGGCCCATCTCCCTGTGTCTGAGTCAAGCTCTCTTCAGCCTGTTTTCTCTCCTCGGGATGGAAATGCATCCTGTTCATCTGTAGCTGCAGACCCTTTCTACTCGGTCCTAGACATGGTGGCTAGAACCTCCACCTGAGGTCACAGCTGTCCTCGCCACCAACATCATCTGCCCCCTGGCCAAAGCCTAGAAACATAAGCTGATGTGGTTGCAGTGCTCTCTCCAGGGGGGAGCCACGCCCAGCATCACCCGGGGTCTGGGAACCAGGACCACTGCCGCTTTGTTCTCGCTGTGCTGCAGTCTGCCAGGAGACCTAGTGGTCTGCCTCCCTGCCTGTCTGGATGGACATCAGGAATTGGGAGGGTGGCCTGCCAGCTCCTTCTCTTCAGGGTCCTGGGCTTGCTGAGCCGAGACCGCCTGGAGCCCTCCACTCACGGCTTGACAACCTTCCCAGGTCTCCAAAAGTTGGCTTTTCTGCCTTTCTTTCCTCCCACCTCCCGTTATTTCTCTGGAGTTTCTGGTTACCCTCCGTCACTGACACAGTATTTTTCCTCTCCCTATATTTCTCCCCTTGAAAAACAATCTTTGGCCCCAAAAATGTATGTGTTTTGATTCGGAGCCGCCACCTTCCTTTTACTCACCCCCCACGCCAGCTCCAGCCTCCGCCCCTCCCCCAGCCCCTGCCGGCCTCAGGCCTCAGCTTTCTCTTGACAGATGGGAGGGCAGTGAGCACTCCCTCTTTAAAACAACATTTAATCGCCGTTTTCTGTTCTTGGACATCAAAGCTGGGGCTTAGGCGCTGCGCTGGGGTCGCAGCGGCGCGGGCTGTGGGGGAGAGGAGGTGGGTGAATAGGGGCTGGCTGAATGGGCTTTGTGTGACCGCCGGGGTCTGCCTGCTTTACATGCTCTTTGACCCAGATATGATCTCATGGAGAAAAAGGGGCCCTGGCCGGGCCAGCCTGAGAACATACGCTCCTCACGGCCAGCCTCCACCCTCCTCCCTCCTAGCTGTGGCCACAGCTGCCCTCTGCTCCAGCCGGGCAGTTGTAGGTAGCTTCACCGGGGACAGGGTTTGCCAGGGGGCACGCGGCTGGGGCTAGGGGGAGGAGTCGGGCAGATGCTCCCCACAGGGGTTGGGCCAGGGGTGGGTTGGGGGGAGGTTGCAAACTCCCAGTGCAGTGCGTCCTCTCCTCCTGGGTATGGTAGTGGGGCGGGGGGTTGGTCCACAGTAGCCTTAGAAGCTCTCCTTACAGTGGCTCTGGCGAGTCCCTCCATTCAGAGGTGGCAAAGCTGGAGCCTAGATCCAGCAAAGGTCTGCCGAAGCTCCAAGCAGAATCGGGAGGAGGCAGACCCAGTCCAAGGCCTTAGCACTCCCCACGCAGGCCTTCCCAGTGGTTGCCTGTGGAGCCCTTGCTACCCCAGCCCAGGAAGGGAAGTCTGAAGATGATGACCTCTGCTCTCTACCTCCACCCTTCCCTTTTCTTCTGCCTTGCCTGTAGGCTGACTGATTTCCGAAAATGCACATAGCACCCTGTCACTCCTTTGATCCAAGTCTCCAGTGGTTCCTCATCTCTCCTAGGGTGGAATTCAGGCTCCACAGCAAGGCTCACAAAACCTCTGGGATGGCCGCTGCTCACTAGGCTCCCTCACCTGGAGATCACCCCAATGCGTTCTACTCCTCCTGCCTACTGCTGGACCCTAGGCGGTTTCTAGGATGCACAAGCTTGTAGTCTCTGCTGTGAGCTGCACAGACCCACACTTCTCTCTCATGGCTCTCTGTGTCTTGTTATTCATGCTTCAGCTCAAGCCTTACCTCTCTTTGGAAAGGCCACCTGAGGCTGAATTAGGTTCCCCCGCTGTGCAGACTCTCCATTGTACCATTTGTCATTGTGCATTATAATCACCTGTTTTCTTAATTGCCACCATCTCTGGACTTAAGTTCCTTGGGGTCAAGAACTGTGTGTTCTTTATCTCCCGATTCCCAGAGCCTAACTGTCTACACAGGCAGGCACCCGATGAATAATAAATGGATAAAAGAATAAGTAGAAAAAGGAGGGAGGAGAGAGGCCGTTAGCAGTTGGGCTGAGGGTACGCTTGTCAGGGGCAAGTGGAAACAGTAAGTCGGAAGCTGTGACCACCAGGCACTAACACGTGGCTAACACGGACAGGTGGGAGCCTCTGCTTGCCTACACCTGTGCCTGTATTTGCTCATGCAGTCATCTGAGCCGGGCTTGCTGTGTGCCAGAGGAAGGAGCAGCAGGCACAGGGCTGAAGTGCCCGGGCGTCTCTGAGTGGATGTATGTGTGTGTGGAGACTGCAGGAGGACATCACCCTGCTCTGTACTTCCAGACCCAGCCCTGCCCCGGTCCTCACTTCAGCTCCTGCCCTTCATGGGCCAGCAGGAGGGTGAGGGCTTCTCTGGGCTGCCTTTCTGCTCCCCAGGGGTGCTTCAGTGAAAGTGAACTCTGCTCATTTAAACCTGACTCCACAGCCCTGGAGCCCCCTGCAGCGCTAATTACCCTGTAGTTCTAAACTGATTGCTGTACACGAAGCTTAAGCCCTCCTTTATTTATTTACTGACTACATTAATAGCGAAGTGGGCTGCTTTCAGCCTCTCTCAACTGTACCTCGTTCTCCTACATCTCCTGAAAGGGCAGGGGCAGAGCCTGATGCGCAGCCCCCAAATTTGCCACCCTGGATGAGCCCCTCTGTGACACAGAACATGAAATGACACAGCATTGCTTTCGTGTCCATACCCGT